CCCCCCCCCCCCCCCCCCCCCCGGTACTCGAGCCGTCCACGGTTGGCTCTCTTACCTTGCAGCCCTTTTCCAGCAGTGCTTCGACGAAGGCTTTGCCTATGCCCTGAGCTGCCCCGGTGACCAGAGCCACTTTGTCCTTCAGGTGCATTTTGCTTCCCCCTCTGCACTTTCGTCCACGAGGGTCGTCGCCGGCTCCCTCTCGCTCCGAGCTGCGCGGCCGCTCCGGCGATTTCCTTCTGCTGCTGCTTGTATTAACCTCCCTCCCCACAGCCTCCCGGCTCGGAGGTCTGAAGGAAAACTGAATCCGACCCGCGCAAGCCGAACTTGGTGTCACCTGCACTGAAGTTGCCTCCCTTTGTCCCTCCCTTCCTCCACCTCCACACGCGGCTTCCCCTTCTGGTGATTGTCCGGCTGGCTGTCCCCAGGCTGAATTTCGTGTTGTCAGCCGCTGCGTTTTGTTTCTTTCCGGAGATAAAGCAGCAGCCTATCTTTGTCGTCCCGTCCCCTTCCCATTTCATCTCGCTCTTCCTACGCCTCATTTTGATGACCCAACACATGCCTCAGGCTATTCTTGCCCTCCAGTCAGGAATGGCCCCTCTGGTTAGCTTCGAAAGAAGGCATTTGTATTAAGACGAAGAGCCCTAAAAATGAAAGAGCATGCAGAAGGATCATGGCCGGGACCATCTCCAATTGTTAATAAAAAGTGTATGATAAAGCAAGGAATAGATTAAATAATCCCTGAAGAAAATTAGAGCCAGCTCTTTGTGGTTTAAAATTCATGCTGATATCAATCCACTAGGAAATTATGTGGTTGACCATGGAAAGTGACATCTGAATCAAATTATAACCACTGAAAGTAAAGTTAGACTACTGATTGATAGCTGTAGTATAGCTCTGGAACAGCATTGTGGCCATCAGTAAAATTTATCCATATGCAGGATGCCAACTTTTCAGAAATCTTATTTTGCTTCGATCATCTAATGATAATGTAAGATTTCCTTCTTTGATAATTCTGCCCCTTTTCTCTGTTCATTTTTAAACATTAACCTAGGAAGGAAATGGGGCTATCTGTCAGCATGTTCCACTGGTAGACATTCATAGATGTCTACCAAGGGTCTTAAAAGTCTCAGTGTTACTTCTGCATTGGAACAGCACGTCTCCAAGTAGCATTGGACACAACACATCTAATTAGCATTCTGGGAATGCTAAACTAAGATGGACCTTAGCCTTAAGCAGGGCTGTTTTTAGATTCACGCTCCCATGTGCATACTTTTTCAAAAGAACTGATCTCTTTGATCTCTTTCTGATCTGGAAAAAAAAAGATCTAGGGAAAAGAGCTGTTCACTAAGTCTCCCATATTCGGTTTCAAACAGTATATTTTAAAGTTACCAAATGCAAGTTTTGGAATATTTCCTGTAGAAATAATAAAGTAACACAACTGTCTTAAAATGGAAATAAAAATAATGAGATGGAATAAAGCGGAAATTGCCTTGGTTTCAAGTTTCATCTCTACTGGGAGCACTAGAAGAGTCAAGTTTAGTGTCATAAAAAGGAAGCTGAAGAAAACTGATAGTTTCAGTAAAAAATCAGCATATAGAAGTAATCCAGAATGTTCAAATGTGCTACTCAGAATCTTTTTTCTATAGTTCAGTTAAAGTATTGCTTAAATACTTTGGGTCTGTTGCTGTCTTCTTTTTTGAACATGAACTGGTGGAAAATACACTGCTGCAGTTTTAGCACACCATTAAAACCAAGCCTATTGATTAGTATGATGAAGGAGAGCAAATGTCTGATGAAGCCAGAGAGGTATAACATTCTGTCAAAAAGGCACAAAATCTATTACCCAAACAGTCCTACTATAGGGCTGAATACAAGAGAAGCTGAGCCACATAGAATGAAGTGCTGCCTTCATTATCCTGTAGATCAGCTATTCAGTACACAAAATTTTTAAACAGCTCTTAACCTGCAATCAAAACAAAACTACCAACAGCTGATCAGCACTTAGGCAAATAGCATAGCAAAGTGCACAACTTTCTAAATCTAACTCTGCCGTTATATTTTTAAGCATTATTCACAGATCTGACAAAATAGTAACATGGGGTTTTCTCCCTTAAATAATTGTTCGGGGTGGGGGCAGCGTTTATTATTTAGAGCTACTTTTTTGGAATAAATATATAATTTATATCTTTTGACTCTTTTGGATTTTTTTTATTTCACCAACTATTTACTTTGAGGAATGAATTAAAGAATTGCAGGAAGGTCTTGTTTCCATTATCAGAATATCTGGATTTTACCAAGTAGCAATCATACTTATTGAAACTATTATACCCTGCATGAATTTTAATTGTTGGATTACCTGGGAATCACAAAAGTATTTTTCAATTGCTTTGATGGGTATATGCTTTATACACACATACATCTTGGCTGAATAGTTATTTGGGAAATCAACTCTTACAACATCAAAAAGTTATCTTCTTTGAATTCAGCAATATTTCCTCTAGTATAAACAGGATCTTCCTATCTTAATGAATAATTTGTACTTTGAATGTATTATTGTGAATGGTAGGTTAAAGTTCCTTAACAGCTACAGAATTAAAGTTTATTAATAGTGTAGGAATGTTCACAAAATAAAAAAAAACAAGTTTTGTCTTAGTTTAGAACAAAACAATTCCACTTAAATTTTCTATTGGAATGTTTCAAGTTGATTGTGTTCCAATGGAAGAAAACTTTATTTCTAATATTCTACTATAGGGAACAATGGCAATTTTCTTTGTCTTTTCATTTTTTCATTCCAAAGCTACAAAAATAAGTGACATAGCTGTCAAGAATATAATTAACAATAATGCTTTGAAACGCCATGGCAAACTTAGAAAAAACAGTTAAGTATAGTTTTCATAGTTTTAAAAAACAACCAAAACCTGAGTTCAGCAAAGAACCATTAGCAATTGATTCACTTTAACAAAATCTGTAGCAAAATCAACTTTTCTGATATTTTCTCCCAGTGCTGGATTAATAGGGAAGATGCCACCTTGGTACCATCCTTTTCTTTGATTTTTAAGCTGTGTATTTGTTCTTAGTATTTTAATATTTGTGTTTTAATTGTAAATCACTCAGAGTTGCTTTGCAGAATTAAATGGGAGGCATATAAAATAGATACATACTTACATACATAGCTTCAAACGGTGCACAGTTGTTTCCCCAATGCATATATTTGAATTCTGTGTTAAAGCTGGGTAAGCAAAGCTGTATAGTATTTAGATTCTGCAGTGTAGGAATTTAGTACATAGTAACATCATATATTATCACAAATGCAGAAAATGTAGGGAATGCATGCAGAAAGAATATAATGGACAATATTGAATTATGTTGCATAAACTCAACTTCTCCATAGCAAAGAATTTAACATACTGTATTAGTGATCTTAGACCAGACAACACCAGCAGGATGATTAGTCATTCTGAATATCTTCTAATGTAATATCTTGTGACCTTAAAGTAATATAAAATGTCTGGACAGTAATTAACTTTCCTAGGTCAAAGAGGCTGTTAGGTTCTAAGTGGATTCCAGTTGTATGAAAAGTAGGAGATAACCTTCAATTTATCTCTGGTGGTAACTCAAATCAGACATAATATGTGTGATTGTCTAGGACAAGGCAGTCATATTTGGTGGGTGCAGACAATAACTTAAGGACAATATGAAGCTGAGATGGAAATCTCACTATTTACTAGTGCTTAACTAATCAATTAAAAATACAGATTAATTATTGTAGGAAATTATATAAAGGAAGGGCTGCTTTGATAGGCAGCAATTGTCTTATCAAGAAATTTCAGCCTCCAAGCTTATCTTTGACCCCAACTGATGTCACTTCATAAAGCAATAGTGCACCTTATGTTCAACCTTTTAACATGCTTGACTCTCCTTTAACCTTCAACAAGGGACTCACTCAAACCATTTGTAACAGTTAGAATTATAACAGAGATAGCTTAAAATGTTCTTAGCTAATGCACATCTCAAGATTGTAAAATACCAGAATTTGAAACAATATGGAACAAAACCCATATGGAACAATATGGAATAAACTCTTAATGTCAGGCACATCATCTTTGAATTGGTAGGCAGGTTCTTCTTGATTCTCCAGGAGAGGAGAAGCGATTTTAGTATGTAGCAAACAGATGAATTGGAATTCCCTAACAGTTGAAACATCACTAAATTTATTTTTTATTTATTTTTATTTGTCAATTGCTTACAAGATGATAGGTATAAGTAAAAACATAGTTATGAATACATGGATACATATAAGAAAAATAAAAAAATATAAAATAAACAATAGGACAGGGATGGTAGGCATGTTGGTGCATGCTTAACCTTGAGTTTGTATCTATTGTTTGCTCTAGTGTTGTTATGGTTGAAGCTGAAGTATTCATTGACAGGTAGGACATTGCAATGTATGATTTTATATACTATACTTAGATTAGACCGAAGGCGCCATAGTTCTAGGTTTTTTAGGTCTAGAATTTCGAGTCTGGTGGTATAAGGTATTCTACAATGAGTAGAGGAGTGGAGAATTCTTCTTGTGAAATATTTCTGGACTTTCTCAACTGTGCTAATATCATATATGTAATGTGGGTTCCAGACTGATGAACTGTATTCGAGTATTGGTCTAGCAAATGTTTTGTATGCTCTAATTATTAGTGTAACATTACCAGAGAAAAAGCTACTTAAGATTAGGTTAACAACTCTTAATGCCTTTTTGGCTATGTAGTTACAGTGGACTCTAGCACTTAGGTCATTTGAGATGAGTACTCCAAGATCCTTGTAGAATTTGGATCATCAACATTCAGCCTGTATAAATTCACTATTAAGTTACTTATTCTCTATATCTCTGACCAGGAGATAGACTTGTGAGTGGATTTATAGTCTGCTGGATTTTCTTTCTTCTGTTTTGCTTTGCTTTGTTTTCTTTTCTTGTCAACTTGGCCAAAAGTGTGAAGTACTGAAGCAGCAAAGCTGCAAAAGTAATTTTGAATGCTTTGAATTATTGCAGAGCTCTTGTAAATTCCCTGTTCCAGAGGTGAAGAAACAGTTGAGAAGTGAAGGCGAGGATCCTACCAAAAATGTAATTGTGTCATGCTTCTTAAAATCCTCTTTCACCACAAGACCAGAAATAAAATAAGTTGCTACAGCACAAATTCTGTAGTCAAGATAAGCAGATTCTATTTGTGAAGTCAGGGATCATGAGCTCAAATTCCCAGATAGATGGTGTAAACAAACAGAAAATTACATTCCCTTTCTCTAGAAGCCTTCCTGTGCTAATTTCCAGAGCATGTAGGAATATAGGAATTTAGAAGAGGAAGTAAATCCAGAACATTTTTGACAGGAGCCAAAATAGATTTCCTTGTCAGAAGCAAACTTCTCACTATATTTTTCTCCTTT